AAGTGCAAACGTTGTTACTTAAAATTAACAATGAATATACTATATTCATTATATATAAAGAATTATGAAAACTGTCGAATTAATTGTTAATCATTATCTATAAATTAATATATAATATTTTGTTGATATAACACGTTATATAAATTTATTTTTCATAGTTTAGACAAACATTCAAGAGGGTTAAGATAAATTATGATAATYTCAAAAACGTATATGTATACTTAACATTTAGAAGTTACTTACACTATAGTAATTAGCAGCTCATAATTGTTGGTACGTAGATCCATTTATTTATTTTTATCTTTTTTTTTTGTTTTGTTTTTTGTTTAAAAACATTTTCAATGCTCAGCACGTATCGCGTCTTGTTTCGTTGAAACATCTACTCTCGCTTGCTAAAACTCTCGAGCACAATCGTCTTGAAACTTTATGCATATCGTTATGCTACGGCACGGTTAGAGTTCGGTACGAAGTTGAAGAGTTTGGAATATACTATGCGAGTCACGTATATATTATATAAACGTATTATACATACATATATATATACATGTGTGTAGACGATTTGACGACGAATATTTACACCGTTTAATATACACCGATATGACATCGTCAAATCATGTATACACCCCCATCGTGTGTATATTAGTATAATATTATACCATTTAATTATCCTGTCGTTGTAATTTACACCAGCTAGATCAATTATTTCTTGGCCGTTATTTAAATTATCCATTTGTTCAATGAACTAATACGATTGTGTCTCGTTTCTCTCTCTCTCTCTCATTGTTAAATGAATATTTCGATCTCATCATATTATCATTTACAAAATTAATAACAAAGTGAAAATATAATTATACGAATAATAGTATCTCGTCAATGAATCACGTAGCATTGTTTTTCGTCTAGGAATTATAACAAAAATTTAATTCAATTAATTTACAACGTACTTTTTTTCTTACGAAATTAATTTCAACAAATGATTTAATAAAATCTCGGTGTCAAATCTAATTAATAATAACGAACAAAATCTTTCACTTTGATGTATTAATAATATCGTAAACTTAATAATCATATCTCTCGAATCGTTTTATTATTTCGATAGGAATCATTTTGTAGACATATGCTATAATAAATCATAAAAATCATAGTTTTTTATTGAAAGATACTTCATAGTGTAGTATCTATTAGTATTCAATGTATTATATTTCTTTCGAATATATATATCCCTCGTTCACATTCTCCTTTTACTTAACTTTCTTCAATTTACTTTTTCGTCGTCGTACGAGATTTTACGCCGGAAGTTGCAAGGAAAATTTATCGTCGCGAACGATATCGGATTTACGGGGGCAGCTTTGAGGGCAATTTACGAGGAACACACCAAGTGCCACTCGAATTAATAAATCCCACGTATAGGCGACAACGATAAAGTCATTTGATGCTTGTTACAGAATTTTGATAACCATACATAAATAGATATTTTTATTATTATTATTAATATATATATATATTCAAATATACATATATTTTATATTATATACTTGAGTGGGAGGGATTAGAAATATTATTACATTATACA